TTAACCGACTGCGCCACCCAGGCGCCCCTAAAAACTTTTTTTAAATAAATAAGAGAGAGGAAGGAAAGAGGGCATGACAGAAGAAACTGGGGGTGGAATGAAGGCCTCCAGTGACAGCCTCCGGGAGGCCAGAAGTCACAGCCCCACAGAGCCTATGTGTCTTCTCTTATACACGACCTGGTATGTTTGTATTTATTCATTTACTTGCCGATCATTCCTCTGCCCCGCGGAATGTGTGTTGTCCCCACCGGAGCCAAGCATGGGAGAGGTGTTCGGTAATTATTTATTGAATGAATTAATGTTTGCTGTTTAATGTTGGTCATGACCCTCTAAACAGAGCTCACAGCCCACCAGGGGGTTGTCTCCCAGTCCTGGACAACTACCAAGAAAGAGACTACTCTTGAGAGCGTTCTTTCCAGCGGCAGGAGTGGGGGGAGGCAGGGAGAGGGGTAGGCAGGGGCTCCCTGCTTTCAAACCCCTCCCCATCTCTGTTCTCACTATTTCTGAGCCCCCAAGGACTCCACTCCTTTGGCCTCAAGCCAGGCAGCCTGCCCTCTGGGCTTCAATCCCTCCCCCCACCAACGCCCTCCCTCCTGCCTCACCACCTACCAGAAGTGGGCACCACAAAGCCAGAGCTGGGCCCTAGTATGCAGCCCCTCCCCATCCTTGGTAGGTGCCCAGTCTGGGTCCGGGTACTCTCACCATCAAGCCCATGGCCTCCACGCTGCAAGGGGCTGGCGTGGGGGTGCTAGAAACACCGGTGAGCCAAAGCCCGAGGGTGGCCCTGGGGGCGCTGGAGGCTCTGAAGGTGGGGCAGTTCCTGGCTAGACCACTGGTCTGTGCCTGCTGCAGGACAGGGCCTGCGGGTCTGTGAGAGCCTGGGCGCTGGGTGGGTGAGTCGCTGGGTTCCACAGTAGCATATGGAGCCACTGGGGGCTCACGATGGCCTCAGGGAGCAAGGCACTGGGGCTCCTTCAAAGTTCTCAACTGTGCTTTCCGCTGGCACCTTGACAATGGTGAGCAGACCTCCTTGGTGGCAGCGTGACCATATTTTAAAAAGTGGAAATATACCCATTAGGATGACTGCTATTTAAAACAAAAACAAAGGGGCACCTGGGTGGCTCGGTACGTTAAGCATCTGACTCGATTTCTGCTCAGGTCATGATCTCTCGAGCCCCGCATTGGGTTCTGCACTGACGGTGGGGAGCCTGCTTGGGATTCTCTCTCTCCCGCTCTCTCTGCCCCTCCCCCGCTCACACTTGTACACGCGCACTATCTCTCTTAAAAAAAATAAACTTAAAAAAAATAAAACAAAAACAAAAGGAAAAAATAAAGACCAGCAAGGATGTGGAAAAAACTGAAATCCTTGCGCCCTATCGGTGAGACTATAAAATGATGTAGCCACTATGGAAAACAGTATGGCAGTTCCTAAAAAAAAAAACTGGAGAAGTATCACGTGAGCCAGCAAACGCACTTCTGGGTAAATATCCAAAAGGATCGGGAGCAGGGTTTCGGAACAGATATTTGCACACCCACGTTTACGGCAGCATTATTCCCAGCAATCAAAAGGTGGAAACAACCCAAACGTCCATCCACTGATGAATGGATAAGCCTAACGTGGCTTGTACATACAATCGAATATCGTTCGCCCTTAGAAAAAGAAGAAAATCCTGACACCGTGCTACAGGAGGGATGAACCTTGAGGGAGGACATTATGCTAAGTGAAATAAGCCAGTCACAAAAAAAGACAAATGCTGTATGATTTCACTTATATAAGGTCCCTAGAGCCTTCCAGTTTGCAGAGACAGAAAGTAGGAAGGTGGTTGCCAGGGGCTGGGGGGAGAGGGTAGGAAGGGTCATCGTTTCGTGGATGAAGTTTCGGGTTTGCGAGCTGATGAGGTTCTGGGGATTATACAGCAACGTGAATATACTTAACACGGCTGAGCTGTACACTTAAAAATGGTAAAGACGGCAAATTCTATGTTCTATGTATTTTGCCATCACTTTTTTTTTTTAATTTTTTTTTTCAACGTTTATTTATTTTTGGGACAGAGAGAGACAGAGCATGAACGGGGGAGGAGCAGAGAGAGAGGGAGACACAGAATCGGAAACAGGCTCCAGGCTCTGAGCCATCAGCCCAGAGCCTGATGCGGGGCTCGAACTCACGGACCGCGAGATCGTGACCTGGCTGAAGTCGGACGCTTAACCGACTGCGCCACCCAGGCGCCCCTTGCCATCACTTTTTGTAAAAAGTGGGAGGGGGCGCCGGGGTGGCTCAGTTGGTTAAGCGTCTGACTCCGTTTTGGCTCAGGTCACGATCTCATGGTTTGCGGGTTTGAGCCCCGCATCGCGCTCCGGAGCCGGCTTGGGATTCTTCCTCTCTCCCTCTCTCTCTGCTCCTCCCCTGCTCGCACTCTGTCTCTCTAAATTAGCAAACAAACAAGCAAATTTAAAAAAAGAAAAAGTGGGAGAACACCACTTGCTGGGCAAGACTCTTGTGAGGGTTCGGTGAGGGGCGTTCTGGCCAGTGTCCTGCACACGGTGGGTTGGGCTTTGTGGGCTGTCACCTGGGCAACTGATGCTCCCGCAGCCCCACAGCTGGCTTAATGCTACTGTAACTGTTAAAATGCTTCATAATTTTTGAACAAGAGTACCTGCGTTTTCATTTTGCACTGGGCCCCTCCAATGACGGAGCTGGTCCTGGCCCTCGGCCCCTAAGAACCACAGGAGCTGGTGGTTCTTAGTAAGAAGGACACTTGGACAGACTTTGTCCCTACCTCTGTGCAGGAAGAGCTCAGTGTAGGGGACACGGATGGTGGGGGTAGAGAAGGGAATCAGGGCCACATGATGACCTCTCGGGGCGGGGGGGGGTTGAGAAGCAGTGGGGCCACCTGCGGAGAGGGCAGAGGGCCACAGAGAGCAGAGGTTGGGAAGGGGCTGGGTCCAGATCGTCCCAAAAAAGGGCCCTAACGATGCACAAGTCAGTATTTCAAGTGTCCCTTGGAACCGGCCTGGGAAACCGGCCGTTGCTGGTACATTTCATCCAGGAGATAAGGTTTATTGAACACCCATGAGGCAGCAGCGCGAGGCCGGAAAGCCTCACCTGCATGATCTTCCTGTTCTCGTTCACCTCCTTGGTTTAAGGTGACAACACCAAGGCCTGGAGCCCCGGAGAGACCAGGCACGGAGGGACAGGGGCAGTAGAGGGTGCAAGCTCGGCCAGTCAGGCTCCCGGTTAGTGCTGGTTCCACTAGGTGGCGCTGAATGGAAATGGTGATGGACCTTGGCTAGACTTGTGGGGCGGTTTCAGGAATGCTCCTAAGCGAAGCTCAGAGCACCATCTAGAAAATGCACCTGTCTTCTCCAGAAGGCGGCTCTTTATGTTCTGGGGAGGCAGTGGTGTGAATGGTCAGGTTTCCAGGGTTCAAATCCAGGCTCTGCCACTTACAAAGTCCACAAATTTTCACAACTTTTGAATTAAGTTAAAAACATAATTGAGAATTTACATATGTTTTTGTAATATGGGTCTACGAATGAGGAGGATGAATTTCTTTCTTGGGGGTAGAGGGGGGATAACTTTCACTAAATTGGGGTTCAAAGTTAGCGTGTTCCCTGTCATCCAATCGATTGCAAATGGTCATGGGTATAAACCATTCTTAGCTTTCTCGAACTGTAAAAAACAGGTGGCAGGCTGGATGTGGCCAGTGGTTTGCTGTCTCCTGACCTAGCGTATTAACTGTATTAACTCTGTTTCCTTGGTGCTCAGTTCTCCTTTGGCTGAATTTTGTGCCATTGTTGTTCTTTAATATTTTCGTCCGAACGCCCTCTTTCATGAACTATTTATTCTCATGGGGCAGTGGACTGAATGTTTACATCCCCCCCCCCAACACATAATTCATGTGCTGCAATTCTAATCCCCGACGTGATGATGACAGGAGGTGGGGGCTTTGAGGAGTGATTAGCGCACCAGGGTAGAGCCTTCATGAATGGGATTAGTGCCCATTAAAAAAAAAAGAAAAAAAAGGACCTTAGAGAGTTCCCTCACCTCTTCTGTCCTGTGGGGACAGGGTAAGGAGATGATGGTCTGTGAACCAGGAAGTGGGTTCCCAGCAGACACGAAACCTGCTGGTGCCTTGATCTTTGGACTCCCCAGCCTCCAGAACTTTGAGAAATAAATCTGTGGCATGTGAAAGGCAGCCAGTGTCTGGGGATTTGTGATGGTGGTCTGGGCAATCTGAGACGGTCTAAGGCATTTCAGCTGAAATGGGAGAATGCTCTCTGGGGAGACCAACGACCCAGCCACACCATTAATTAACTTTGTGGCCAACTGTCCACATGCGTATTTTCTCACCTTCCCTCTTGCTTCTTATCTCAGAGGTGTGCCAGGGTTTTGTTCAGAAAATGCACCTTTTTTGGAGCTTTTCTCTTTTGCTTGGTGGGGAGTATTTGTCCCCATCTTACCGGGGTTGCCGCCCATTCATTGGTTCTGAACACATCTTCCAGGAATTCCTCACTGTTTTGTCTGTCGCGAGTATCTCTTCCAGTTTCCCAACTATGTCACAGATTTAGAGCAGGTAGTCATTCATGCAGAGAACCAGTTCTGGAAGCGGATCCGTCCTGGGTAAAGACTATTTCTGGAACTCCATTATCTTAGCACCTAAAGAGAGTAATGTCCTTGAAAAGAACTTAACAACCAATGCACTTACATTTGCATACTTTCAATTTAGGACTTTATACAATTGTTATCCTTCAAAAACAAAAAAACTGGGATTTTCCAGAACCCGTGCTGTGACCTCACCACGTAGTATCTCCTGTCGTCACTCTACCCACGGGGACCACCTGACATGGGCAATGAATCTCGCCCCGCCTGCTGGATCTTCCAGCACCAGTGACAATGGGATATGGTCATTGATCCTCAGCAAACCCAGAGGCATGACTGAGAAACAGAAGATCTTATTTATTTTTATTTTTTAAATTTTATGTTTTTAAAT